ATTAGCCCCAGCAACTGAAATGAAGGCAGAATCGCTGCTCAACTATATGGATGTGGTTTATAGATCATACTCAGGATATATAAAGAAAAATAATTTGCCTGGGGAAATCGTAGTAAGATTCTCGAAGAGGCATGTCAGGGATTCTATCCTGAAAGCGGTTGCAGGAACACCCCTGAAAGCAGGGGAAAACACCATTAGAACGCTGAAGGATATTCCATTTGAAGTAAGACAACGCAGAAAAAAATACAAATAATTGGTGCTTTTTCTTCAGACAAACTCAATTGGATATAAATGGCTATTTCCAGAAGGCGTAACTTTCAAGATCAAAGACAAAAAAGAAAAGATTGACTCTGTTCTGAAAGCTCAAGAATTCCTAAGGGTACAGCTGGGAAGGCCAGAGGACGAGAAAAAAGAAGAGGACAGCAAGTCCAGTGGCGAGCTGGACACTGGTTCTTCCGGAGAGGACTCTAGGTCTGAGCAAGGGGCGGCAGCCCCAAAAAGTCCTTATAAGTTGCGGAAGAGAAGGGAAAAGAAGAAGTAAAGGCTGAAGGACTCTGAATTGTGCCTTTGAGACTCTTGGTTTTGGGATGATTGGGGGGTACTGTTACTAGACAGTTAAATTTAAGCTTTAAGGGAAAGGGGCTATAAAGGTTTGACTCAGTTTATAAAGGGATCAACGATAAGAAGACTTGATATATCTAAGCTAGTTGGAGGATCTCCTCTCTTAGTAGTGGGTTCTTTACTTTCTCCCGCATATGTAGTTTCCCCTCCCCTTTTTTCTGTTGTAGTTTTTTGTAGTGAATAAAAATCAATAAAAAATCCCCTTCGGGGGCTTTAAAAAAAAAGGAATACCACATTGGGAGGACAGGACAGGCTTTATTCAGCCACATCTCTGAATATCCTCCAGGCCCCCAGTAGGGGTGAGTCACCTAAGGTCAACATGACTTCAAGGTGCAGACAGAAAAACACACACACAAATACAAAAAAAAAAATGCAGACGACACAGAATTGGGAGGAGCAGCGAACACACCAGAAGATAGAGATAGAATTCAATGAGATCTGAATGCATTGGGAAAGTGGGCGGATGTGAACAAAATGCAATTTAGCAAGGATAAGTGCCAAGTTCAACATCTGGGTAACAAAAATGAGGAACACACATACTGGATGGGGGATAGACTTCTGGGTAGCACTGTGTGTGAACAAGTTCTTGGGGTAGGGGTGGACCGTAAGTTAAATATGAGCAGCCAGTGTGATGCAGCAACAAAAAAGGCTAATGCGATCTTGGGGTATATCAACAGAGGCATAACATCCAAATCATGAAATGTCATAGTGCTGCTGTACACTGCATTGGTCAGGCCGCACCAGAAGTAT